TAAACACATATAATTGTAGGGCTAGAGGTTCACAAGGTGGCTCATATTTGATTACCTGCTATATTTTCTTCTATTTTCCTTGCTAATGCTATGATTTGCACCTCAACATCCAAGTACACACCCATTATAGGAAGAAAACAAGCTATGCTTTTCCTAATTAACCAGTAGTCCTATAAACCTTCAGAGGCTGGTATTACCTTAGTATTTTACAGGAATACAGATTAATCAGTAGCCAAGACAAGAATAGAAGAGCCCAGCCCATGCAAAACTAAAAGTAAATCACTGGGCAATATTTTTTGTATCCTTCAAAACATTTGATGACACAATGCCTCAGAGATCCTTGTGAACTTTGACAGAGAAGACTGTTAAGGAATTATGCTAGGAGGTAGCACTATATTCATATGAGACTCTCCTCATACTGCAATGCATCCAGGTTGTCCCAGGAAATCCTTATATATGGGAATTTGGTTTCCAGAAATGTGTATGAGTCAACAATGACAAGTTCTGATAGCTCAAGCCTGTGATAAGCATTTCCCCCTGTGAATTCAGAATCATCTTGCACGTCTGTCTTGCACATGCTGACAGTCCATTATCTAATTAATTACTTCAGCATTGAGTCATGCCAAATGAGAATCGGTAACACTCCTAAAGACAATCAGATAACAGGAATTCAACTGTCAGCAACATCACTGCATTAGTTGTGATGCATCATTTATTTTTCAGATGACTAATTATTAACACCCATCATTCTCTTCTTCAGTAATGTATTCAGTGGGGACCCATAAGGTCCAGATAAATTCTTGAAATCCCCAATCAGTCATACTAGATATACTTTTTGAACTGCATCTCAATACCTTGCAGGCAATGTGACATTATTATTTCTTATCTTTTGAAGTTTATAAACACAATTCATTATTATTTGTCAAAAAAGAGGTAGAAAGCTTTCAAAATCTCAATTAAAAACTCTAAAAATAATTTCTTTTATGTGACTAAGCTGAAGATATTTTCAGAAATCTCTGGTGACTTTTGATTTTCTTCCTTTCTTAAAAATTTTCTCATCTATATATTCTTTTACTAAATATCAGCATTTAAAGGGGTCTACCCCTGCATAATCCTATGTTCAATAAGTTCTTCACATAATAGAAAGGAAAAAAAAGAAAAAAAATTGAAATTCAGAACTATTAAATTCTTAGAAAAATAATATCTTAATGCAGTTACAAATATGTTCTAACTTCAGTCAAAATTAAACAATAAAATTAAAATTGTTCTTATTGTTCCTGTTAGAAGTGTTTTCTCAACATCTCCAGGAAGGCCTAGGGTGAAAACTATCACACTTGCAAAGGTGCAACTTTGTAAGCTGACTCACAGCCACCATGGTACGTGGTCTTGCAGCAATCATTTCCAGTAGCATATCTTTTCACCACAGTTGTGACCAAAGACATAGACCCAGAACCAAAAGCTGTCTTCAGAGAGGCTGGACTAACACCAGCCAGTCACCTCTGCAGCTGTGCTCACTCACAGCTCTAGTAAGGCAGCTTTGACCTTGAGCTACAGCTGTGGCCTGGCAAAGGAACAAGTAAAACCTCATTAAGGAAGAAAGTCTGAGAAAGAGAAGAAAAAGAGCTGCAGATAGAGGAATATGTTTGGACATGAGAAGAGACGCCGGTGACCTGTCAGGAGACAGGATGGGGCGCGTGCACAGAAGCTAGAGACCAATTAGTGATAAGATACAGACGTGTGAACAAGAACACTTCACCAATGACATATATATTATATTAGCACGTGGACAGAGAAAAAGTAGATAAAAAGAACAAGTTTGTTTATAATAAAATCTTTTGCCTGCCAGCCTGCAGTCTGAGAGCATCATTTAGGCTGCCGTCACACAGCAAAGTTTCATCAGCTCTGGTATCAACTGCCTACCTAAGCTCCAGACAGAGCATTAGGTGTGTGACATGAAGATGCTGACTTCAGAGGACTTCCCGTGCTGTTTATATTCTGTTGCTACACGTGGCTTATTTGTGTGTGGCTCTGCTTACCCCTGGTACTGACAGGTTGCGCCACCCCTTCGACAAGAGAGTACTTCCCCTAATTTTCTCATTATACAGGTCCTGCCAGTTCCATGACATGTTTTCCTATCATTTCAGGATTTCCTCTTACCTTCTGACAAAGGATTAGGCCATTATAAATTTTTCCAAGTGGAAGAACATTTCCCATACGCATGTCACTTTCAAAAGCCAAGCTTTTGGTGACATGGTTTCCCTTTCAGACAGATCCTTTCTGAAGCAAAATCCAGATTACTTATTAACTTCCCTCTACCCACCCCTCTACATGGTCATCTACAGTGTGTGTATATGTGTGATATTTCCTGTTTACTCTGCCTTTGTTGAGTAAAGTGGCAGGACAACAGATGTAACACCAAGCCAGATGTCACTGCTGCTCTGCTGGGAGGGTTTATCTGTCAATGCAACGTGACTTTCAGATTCAGTCACTTCTGAAAACACCTGACAACAACCTTTTCTGGCAGTAAGCACCTCTTGGTGTTTTGCAGCTTCACTGACTCTTCAGAACAAACATGGGGTGCCTATCCGCAGCCAAAGGATTAAGTTGCAGTATTTCCCTCATTCCAGGGCAGGGATGGGGAATAATCCCAGAGCTGAATTCCCCCACAGTGCACTTGAAAAAGGTAGCTTGGGAAGCAAATTTTTCCATACCCATTTGCAAATCAGACAAAGCACCAAAGCAGATGTGTAGCTACTATGCAGTTAGTAAAGATGGCACAGTACATTGTCATAGGTTAATGCCTATATATTGTCAGCTGAATGTATATAGAGATAAGGCAGAAGAGAAGAAATCAAACCATCTTGAATCCAGTAAAACACAGTTACTGCAAATTCAGTTAAGTTCTTTGTAGAGCTTAATCTATGTTGGAATGACCCCTAGAGAGAATTGAAAATTGGGAAGGGAGTAACTGTATGATCATCATTCACAACACTAGATCTAGAGTCAAAGGAAGAGGAAGTGTGAAACCTGTTATGACGAATTCTAAGTAGTCTGCAGGTATTTTCTTTACAAAACATTGGTAGTAACAAGGTCACAAATCTGTAATCACAGAATCACCTAGGTTGGAAAAGACTTCTGAGATCATTGAGTCTTACCTGCGACCCAACACCACCTTGTCAACTAGACCATGGCACTAAGTGCCACATCCAGTCTCTTCTTAAATACCTCCAGAGGCAGTGAATCCACCACCTCCCTGGGGCATTCCAATGCCCAATCACCTCTTCTGTGAAGAAGTTCTTCCTAAGGTCCAACCTAAACCTCCCCCGGTGCAGCTTAAGACTGTGTCCTCTTGTCCTTTGCTAGTTATCTGGGAGAAGAGACTGACTCCCAGCTGGCTATGCATATTTATATACGGTAAATAAGCATTAACTGCTCATGAAATGGTGATAGCATTTAGACCCTCTTTTTTTTTTTTTTCCACAAAAAAGAGACAACAGGCTTAAGGGTAATGACCACTTGGTACTTTGACCCCATTTGGAAACTCATCGACAGAATTTTGCAAGTTCTTCCTTCAATAAGCCATTACATCTGGTTTAACTCTTCTTTTTTTATGACAAAACTGTACTTATTCTAGACCTTCATGTAGCTTTCCAAGTGGCAATACAACAATCATGTAATATTGAATTTAGAACAACTACATGATTATACAAAGAGGCTTTATTTCAGAGAAACAGTAAGTTGTTATATGTACGCAATAACTAACTGTGCTTACAGATTCAATTTCTGAATCTTTTCACAAGAAATTCTGCTCTTAATACAAAAAAATATTTATTTATACAAACCCCCCAAAAGACATCATAGTACAGAGTGCCAACATTTACATGTAAAGACCTTAGATGTCAAATCAGGTTTTCAGAGCAGTTTAAAAGTGGTTTATCACTTTTGATCGCATATAGTTTCTCATATAAACTCAACCTTTTAGATCTCTGTCCTTCAGAAGTTCATACTTTTAAATCGTTCTTTAAGCACATCGGAATCTTCATCACTATCTGTACTACTGAAGTTTGTATCAAAATCCAGTTCATCCTCCAATCCACTGCTCTCTTGGCTGGTTTTAGTAGTCTCCCTCTCAGTTCTGCCTTGTCCTTTGTCAATCCTGCAGAAAGCAAGATGGGTGTTATCACCACCCACTTCTGGAATTTAAACAAGAATGGGATGGAAGATAGAATATTCTCCCAATATTTCATATCAATATGGGATGAATGATGGCAGGAGGTGGGAAGAAGAAGGAGGAGGGGAACAATAACCTAAAGTTACTTTCACATTGAATAGCAAAGATATAGAACACAGTAAAGTACGTATTTTATACATCAAAAAGTATTTCATATGGAAGAGTCTGTGAAGGAAAAAAATAAATAAATTAACAGCTTGATCACCTAAGCAACTGCTGGACAGCTGTTGCTGTCCACAGTAAATTAAAGTGTTTTATGTATCATGCTCGGTAAAGAGACAGTCAAAGAATAAAAACCCCCAAAGTCTAATAAATATACTGTGGTAACTGTGCTCAATATCAGTCCTTGTTTAGTTTTTCTGTTCACTAGTAACTGAATCACCAAGTGACAGACAAAATGTAAACAGTAAGTTGGCTTATGCATATTTTATGATGCTCTACACTAAAATCTGTTTTGAAGTGCTTTGCTCTTAAGGAAGATGTGCAATTCACCCTTTGGTGTTAAAAGCCTTATCCGAGTACAACTTTTTTTGGCTCAGCCTCACTAACATCAGTAAGCACTTCACCCCCAGTTTCATAAGAAGAAAGTGAGGAAATTTACTCCTGCTGATTCCTGTTAGAATTATTCAGAATATGGCATAAAGTACAACAGGTTCTTGGCAATTTCCAAACAAGGTTTATTAAAAGGGGAAGAAACAGTGCAGTACTGAAACTACATAAACTATGAGGTACTTACGGAATTACTATTTCCTCTTCTTTTCCACATTTTGCACAAATTTCTAGTTTACTAGCACATGGCCGACAAATAATATGATAAGGATCTTTTACAGTCTTCTGGAGGCACTTCACACTGTGAAGAGAAAGAAAACATTATTGTGGACACATATCAAACATTCTGTGTTCAAACACAATACAGACATATTCTTCAAAAGAGGAACAACTTGTTTTATGCCAGTTTCAAGTAAAACAACCAGTGTTTCAACAAGTAGCACTATCAATATCATTGCCTTTTATCTCCCTCCTATACCTTTTTCAGGAAGAACTATTAAAACAAGAACTGAAAAAGAAACACTAAATCAAGAATTTTTATATTTGAAGTGACAAAAGAAAGGTTTCCATTCATTTCACTAGGTAGTGTTTATTTTTAAAGTTGCATAACTTCTTCTTCTGGTTTAATGATAAAAGCAGAATATGGTATAAAAAGGTACATGGATTTTACAAATAAAAAGCTTTCAGTTCAAACACTGCTCTTAAACTTATCAGCATAAACTGAGTCAGTGCTGGACTTTGTTTTCTATGAACACAAGCCTGCATGGAAAAGTATTCTCAACAAACCCAACCTAATTATGTAGAGGTTTTGGCCTATTCTTTTTCAAAATATGATAAAACCCTGTAGCAATTAAGCAATTTCCAAAATGCTATGGCTTAACATTGAGCTGATGTTTCTAAAGCCTTGTATCTTTGGAGAACGTAACCCAGAACAATATACTCCATGTAATGCAGCTGTCTTAGAAGTCACTTCTTGGTTCTCATGCCCTCAAAAGTAAACGAACTGTAACAGCAACAATATTAACGACTTTTTAATCTAATGAAGGTAAAAATAAAATACATCATCTACTCAGGGAACTGCACAAATACATTTACAGAACCTCTTCAAGCAGTTCCTGAGTATTTCAGAAGAATGCAACACACAAACACTGAGCAAGCTACTGTGACAAACCTGGCTGCATCACACACCACAGCCCAGCTGTGGTTTCTCTGGGTTCAGTGTTTCACTGCTGAAACACTCACTGGCTGTTCTGCTACCACAGGAGGGTAAGGACCTGAGCAAACAAGAAGTAAGCAGAGAGCATCTACTTTGGAAAATTAAAATAATGTATAGGTTTGTGATAGGTTAAAATATTTATCATCTCTGTTATGCACTTATACAAAACCACATAATACAGAACTGTGTGCAAACAATGCCAGCATTTTAATATTTAGGAAATTATAGTTTCTTACAGAAAAGGAGCAAAGATGCTGAGAGGTATTGAAATGCATGTATCGCAAACATTTGTGAAGTACAAAAGTTAAGAGATGTGCAGATTCCTCTAGTACTGACTTGAAACAAGGACTTAGAAAATTGTGTTACAACAGGTCCAGTTTGAATTTTTATTCAGGAGGACACACTGCAAGTCTTGGAAATTTCCAGGTCCACAGTTCAACCATTTTTAACAGCAAAGAGGGAAGCAGTTGCTTTTCCTCTGTGTTTTCTATCCAAAAGTTTAAGGTAAAAGAATAATGAATTAGAAAATTAATTTTAATTAATTAATACAAATTAAAAATTTTTTATTGCTTATATATTGTCACTGCAGACTCCAAATTTGAAAAATGTTACATAGTAGCAGCTCCTTAAGTTTCCAAAACAAGAATATTTTCCAAAAGTTCAAAAACTACATGATCAGCAATTAACACAAAGTATCTTAACTCACCATTTTTTAGGTTTTGATAGTAGTTTGTACTTGCTGAATTTTACTCGCCACTCCAAGATACCTTTGCAATGCTGACATACACCATCATGAAGCTTAGCATTTATTTTCTAAGTAAACAAATAAAAACAAAAATACATTGAAGATTTCCTACTGTAATAAGTATAATCTTGCTTAGAAAGCATTTCCACCAATCATATGATTAATACAGTATTTAGAAATATGTTTACTTGATCTTAACATTAATAATTTTACAAAACAGATTTAAGAATAAAAGAGCTTGGAAATATACCGTTTTTATCCAAAGAAGGCAACTCACAAGACTTAAGATTTAAGTTATTATTGCTCAAGTTATCACTATACTACATACTTCAAATAGCCTTAGGATTTTTTTCTCAGATAACAATAAAGTAGAATCCAAACACTATTTGCACTCAAACCATTCAATCCCTCTCTAACCCTAACCTTCTTTTATGAAAAACTAATACATTTTTGCTCTCATGTAACTAAGATAAAATCCTCAAAATGGTCATTTAAACAATAGAGTATTTTCAACACAATGCAAAATTTACCTTAAGATCTCCAAAACATTTTGGTTTACCTTGCTTAGAAATATAAAATGTCAATTTGCCAATACTATTTGTGCAAGAGAAGTTATTCTGAGATAGGAAGTAGTACCAAACCACACTGCCACCTTAAATAACAGGCAACAGGCATGTTCAACATAGTTTTATTTCTCCTCTACCTAAGAATGACAGCAGTAACATTATCTATCATATGGATGTTGTATTCATTCAGAAATTTAAAAAAGAAATTTCACAATTAAGAGATTGCATGTAATAAAAAATCATTGTGCCTTTTTTAGACTTAAAAATGGCTACCACACTAACATTACATTATTAAGATGGTCTAAACCACATCTACCTCTTAGAATACCTAAAAGTTCATTGGAATGGATTGTGTATTAATTTGGATTACAGTTCATGTTACTCTTTTTCAAATAAACCAAAAGTTCTATGAATATTCCACTGAGTATATTCTATGAATATAACATGTTCTGAAGTATTTTCCTGCTTTTATGACCCACAAGAGCTTCTCTCTACTCCACAAAGTTCTACTTCAATACATCAGATAAACAACAAGCCCAGTTTTAAAAATACAGTATCATATTCTATGTTTGTGGCAGAGAAAATGCTACTTTCAAGTGATAGTATAATCTGGGACTTGTTTTCCATTGTCTCCATTTTTACTAAACTTGCGCCATTTGGTAGGAGTTTTCCCCTGGTGTGGTTAACTGAAGGTGTGGTGCGCTCTGACAATTTCAGTTAAAATAAAACTATTTTCCACATTATCAATTACAGACTTTGCACGTTAAGAAATCAAAGAAACAAGGTTTTGCAGACTGCTTGAATATTGAATACAGAAAGGTGTGGTTCTGATGCATCATGAATTACATTTTCCAAGAAACACAAACATTTGGCTAATGTGTAAACTTTCTGAGAAAAGAAAATCATCAATAAGTTTTCAGCATCAGTAAGTTCTCCCTGTTAGAGGGCTCACAATTCAAACCACTGTGAGCACAGTGTTCAGTGTTTCAAAATTCATGCCATTCGAAGATAAGCCTTATTTTCAGTGCTTGACCAGCACTGAAGTAAGGCTCCAGTAAGCTTCTATCAACCTGCAAATTAACCTGAACTTTCCAGTTTTCCCTCTCACTCGCCTGACTTGCACTGATTGGTAATGCAGGAGGGGGGACAGACACAAACACTGTAATTTGTATTTCCAGGTGCTCTTTACTATTTTCTGCTATTTTCTAGGATTGCTAGGGCAAAATCCAATGAATATCAAAAGACTGCACTAGTTTAAGCTGAAGACAGACAGTTGTCTTTCCAAAGGCACTCCTGAATGAAAACCACCTCATTTCCCACAATACATCCTGACACAATAGCTGCCGGCTGGGGCCGGAGCTACAGTACCAAGTGATGGAGGGACAGGCTCAGCCATGAGTAAGGCACTTGGAATGCAAGAGGCCAGGCTCCGGACTGCATGTGGCATAAACAGTGCAGAAGAATGAAACAGAAACTACTTCACCTCTCATCTGAAGCAAAACCAAAGTTTGTCAAACAGGCAGCCTATGATAAATTCTGCTAAGTATCTGCTATAGAACAAGGAAATATGCAAAGCTATTATTAATGAAGATTTATAAAGCTATTCCCTTTCCCAATACACTTACCATCTGGCTCCAGAATACACAACAATCACACAGTGATTTCTTTTTCTTTTTTTAATCAGACTAAAACACTGGCCATCCTGAAAGCCCAAGATGACAAGGATGGAGGGGCAGCATAGCAGGGCTTAGGCAATCCAGGAGGTTCCTAGCACGCACTGATGACAACTTTCCAAGTGATTGAAGAGCCAATGAGAGGAGGTGCTATGCTGGACCTTGTTCTCACCAACAAGAAGGGGCTGGTGGGCAATGTGAAGTCCAGGGGCAGCCTGGGCTGCAGTGACCATGAAGCAGTGGAGTTTAAGATCCTTGGGTCAGTGAGGAGGGTGAGAGAAAGCTCACTGCCCTTGACTTCAGAGAGCAGTCTTTAGTGTCTTCAAGGACCTCCTTGGTAGAGTGCTGTGGGATAGAACCCTAGAGGGAAGAGGGGCCCAAGAGAGCTCGATGGTATTCAAGGATTGTCTCCTCCATTCTCAAGAGCAATGTATCCCTACAAAGAGGAAATCAAGGAAGAAAACCAGGAGGCCGGAATGGATGAACAAGCTCCTGGACAAACTTAAACATAAACAGGTAGCTCAGAGAGGGTGGAAGCAGGGAAAGGTAGCCTGAAAGGAATACACAGAAATTGTCCAAACAGCCAGGGAGATGGTTAGGAAAGCCAAAGCACCGGTAGAACTAAATCTGGCCAAGGATATCGAAGGTAACAAAAAAAAGTCTTCTTTAGGTACATCAGCAGTAAAAGAAAGACTAGGGAAAATGTGGGTCCTCTCTGGAAGGATGCCAAAGACCTCATTACTCAGGACAAGAAAAAGGGATTTGGACAGCAGGATCAAGTGCACCCTCAGCAAGTTTTCCCATGACACCAAGCTGTGTGGCACGGTCAACCCACTGGAAGGAAGGGATGTCATCCAGAGGGATCTGGACCGGCTTGAGAGGTGGGCCTGTGTGAACCCTGTGAAATTTAACTAGACCAAGTGCAAGGTGCTACACCTGGGTCAGAGCAATCCCAAGCACAAATACATGGTGGGTGGAGAGCAGCTCTGAGGAAAGGGACTGTGGGGCTGCTGGTGAATGAGAAGCTGGACATGAGTCGGCAATGTGCATTCACAGCCCAGAAAGTCAACTGTGTCCTGGGCTGCATCAAAAGCAGCGTGGCCAGCAGGTCAAGGGAGGTGATTCTGCCCCTCTGCTCCGCCCTTGTGAGACCCCTGGAGTATTGCATCCAGCTCTGGGGTTCTCAACATACGAAAGACATGAACAAGTCCAGAGATGACCCACTAAATTGATCACAGGGCTGGAACATCTCTCCTATGAAGACAGGGCGAGACAGTTTGGCTGTTTAGCCCAGAGAAGGATCCGTGGAGACCTCAGAGCACCTTCCAGTACGTAATGGGGTTATAAGAGAGGTAGAAGGGACTTTTTACAAGAGGATATCGTGACGCGACAAGGAGAAATTACTTCAAACTGAAAAAGAATAGGTTTAGATCAGATATTGAGAAAAATATCTGATCTGAAGGTGGTGAGGCATTGGAACAGGCTGCCCAGAGAAGTTATGAATTCTCCATTTCTCAAAGTGTTTAAGGCTAGGTTGTATGGAGCTCTGAGCAATCTGGTCTAGTGGAAGGGATCCCTGCCCACAGCAGTGGGGGTGGAACTAGATGATCTTTAAGGTCCCTTTCAACCCAAACCATTCTATGATTCTATAATCACATTTATGTGTGCCAAAAATCACATTTAGGATCCTGATCAAGGCATAAATACACCTGGATTTTTCAACCTTGTTACCTGCAGGACCATAAATCTTACACAGCTACTCAAAGAAATCACATAGCATCTGCTCAGAAGGTAACAAACTGGAAGAAAGAAAACAGCTTTTAAGTTCTAATTTCCTCCTTCTAACAGGCACACATACAGCCTCTTCCTCCCCCTCAGCAATTTCCTGCATTTTTTACTCAATGTTGACACTTCAAGTATGGGACAGTGTAGTTAATCATTGGCTCAGCACATCTGAATACAAGAGAGATTATGACTCTACAATCCCTCTACCAGACTGTGGGTTTAGAAAGTCAATAGAGAATGATGGATTGATGTAAAGCAGGCAATTACAGAGCTTAACCTTGACTTGTGTTTGTCTTTTACATTTATTTTGATCAGAAAAAAAAGTATGATATTTAAATGCAACTATTACTAAAACAAGTTGACAATTTACTGTGGTTTTTTACACTGAATACAATATTTTCTTTGACCAAAAAAAAGGTAATATACCACTTCCAAAAGCAATGCTGACTGAAGAAGTTTAAAGAAAGCTGTCCCTAATGAAAGATTTCAATAAGCTGTTTTTTCGGATTTTTGAAATCACTAAAGAACATGTGAGAGTAAGTTCTCCTAACAAACTGGAAGATAAACTTTTCTGGTTTCTCAGTTCCCAGTCAGAATGGGGAAGTCACCAGTAAAATCAAAGAAACCCCTCTGCTGCTTACTTTTCCTATTAATAGTCACCTACTATCCTATTATATTTTGTATATTGTTTAAACTTTCATGTACTCATATTTTCTTCTTTTGCCCATTTGCTTGCTTTCCTTTAAGGATATAAAAAACCAACAATCACACAAACAGCTGCATAAGGCTTGTCAACTTCATTATTCCCCTCCAACTTTTCTACCCAGCTTTTACACCCAAATAGGAGGTAGTGCTTGTGGTCTGAAATTAATTTCTTGGTGTGAAAACTACTTCAACAGGTTAGATTATGTTTCTGTCACAGCAGTTTTTCTGGGATTTTCTTTATGCTCATTTCCCTGTTTTAGACAATAGTGCTCTCTTTGCCATACTTTGCTTCAATGACAAGTGCAACTCATCCAGTGCTTACAGTAGGTCTATATATTC